TGATTGCGCAATAGATGATAATCCTTTGCGGAGTGTTCTATTTCCAAAAATAAGAGGAGCAACCGAACGACAGCCCAGTTCACCAAGAGGGATTGTGGTTCCATGATTGGGTTGACGATTTCAGAGAATGATATCATAAGACACAACGTTACGTACAGACATCGAGGTTGAAGTACCTTGTAATCGGATGATGGACTATCCGTGCTTGTGAGGTCTACATGAATTGCACGCCAGGCAGTTGTGAGAATATCGGTGCGATTTGATTTCCACAACTCTTCGTTGTCACTGAACGCCAATCCCATTAAATGGAAGAACATGAACATACCATACGGTGGAAGTTTTTCGGGCCGCAGAATCAAGATACATTTGTTTGCAAGAACTGGAAATACAGATAAGTGGGGAAAACCAAAGTGTCTACAGTTAGCTCGATGAGACATTTCACTAAAGCCGAGTGGCGATGAAAATGTGGAAGGACAGAAGAACAAGGAGAAAGTGTAAGTAAGAGAAATAGCCAGATTATTGTGCGTACGAAGAATAGCGTCAAGCATCTCGCTTGTGATGCATTATTATAGAGAAATAACCCAATGAAATGGGTTAGATACACAAAAGCGTGGTTTCCAGATGGTGGGGACAGGGGGATTTTTATTGCATGCGATTGGAAGAAATGTGCACTGTGTGCTCTGTGCCACGTTATTCGTGGCGCCGATTCGGATCACTGAACTACGACAAGAAAACCTTTTCCTATGAGGTCGCTTCAGAATACTTTGTGGTGATCGCTGCGAAAGTTGTCTACCACGAGTCGTTTACTTAGAACTACCGTGACGGACAAGTACTGCGTCGCTTACTGTTGGTGTCACCGAGGGAGCCCATACGAAGCCGAGCAATTTTGATATGCCTTCAGTCCCCTGGTATCGACACAATGTGGAATCGGTTGGACCATCTTGATATAATGCCTTGAAGAATACTGTAGAAATTGGTTATGGCTATTCAACAAAGACATTGAAGTAGATTGCTGAAGCACGTAAGTTCCATGGGAAGAAACGTAAGCCTATCATCGACGTTCGGTGCGTGAAACCATCATTGATTATAGTGTAATTTGATGTCGAAAATGAACGCGGAAGTAAATAAACCACAGGCTTCGTGAAATAACTAAGTTGCACTGGGTTCAATATTCGCTGAGTGCATAAATGAGTAGTTGAGAATAAATCTTCACTTCAATCTTCCTTCAACGAACAATGGGAGTATACCAACTAAACGAAAACATGGACCGATGAAAAGATCAGCAGAAGTTTCAGTATTAGGGAACCAGTAACGCGGATCACAGTCCGCAAAACAAGAGCAGCTTAACTCGCACAACTCTTATATAGTGATAATATATAGTGATAATATCACACAACTCAAAACGACTCAGAGAAGCTGCAGTTTGGGGGGGGGGATGCAGATAGTAGGATGTATTTTTCGAAGCTGTGTGGCAGCAACCATTTGAAATAAAATATTACTCCATCAACGCTGCCTAAAACCATTGGGGAGGATATGCACACACAAGTGTCAATGAACAGTGAAACAGAACAAATTATGAGGTAGGAAAAGCGAGAGCGGGAGATCACCTTATAGTCTGAAGATAATGCGGTCGCATTCAAATCCACATAGACTGAACGCCAACCAGCAACGTTGTCTGTAATCGTGGGCGAAGTCCACAGGCCATCATTATCGCTGTGGCTCAAATAGTAAGAGTGAAACCATGACCTACCAAAGAATGGAGGATCCGCCGGAAGAACCACGAGACATTTGTTTGCAGGAGCTGCAGTGCATCCAATGCAGTAAAAAGTTGAAGCATTTGTGGAAAGAAAGCTTATTCAGAAAGAAAGGTTGAAAAATAAAGTGTGGACAGAAGAAAACGGATTGGCATGGTGCTGCCCGTCACTTTACTGGAATTTGCTAGAATCTACAATAGATGGATAGAACCGGCAAGCGCAGTCTTGGGGCTAAAAGCCACAGGGTATAGATGGGATCCGTTTTGGTGCTTTGGAACCCTAGACCAGTACTCGATCCGTTTGATAAGTTTTCGACGGTCAACTAACAAATGGCGTGTCTCGAAAACGTCCGTTAGTCTATTCGAGAAACTTCCAGAACACTGTTGTAACTGTGTCTAAATTAGCCTGAGTACATCCGTACATGCTAACAATCTGATCCGTTGAGCAAGCACATAGGGGGGAAATCAAATCGCACTAGAGATACATGAGACTTTTGTGTATGAAAATAGCTAGATGCTAAAGTGGACTAGGCAACAGGATAGTTTGTCAGGTCATGAGGTCATACCTTGAAATCGCTTGATTCCTTTTTGGTCGTTGTCATGGGCACAAGAACCGTAGTCCAGCGACCGACCTCGATTTCCTGTTGGTTATGAAGGTCATACGTACTCTTCCACAGTGGATCGTTCACGCTTAATTTCGGAGGAAACTCGTTATGTGGTCAATTAAATTACCTACCAAATCATGGATGGTTGTCCAGTCTTTAAATCAATATCCGCACGGCAAGACCTATGAGGCATCAAACGAGGGCCGAAGAAAGTGTTATATACTTGGATAGGCCTTTGATCACAAATAAAAAAGAAAGGAGAAGAGAAGATAGGAAGAAAATCGCTAACCGGCGATTCGTGCGCGCGTTCGAATGGGGATGATGAGTTGGCTAAATTTCTTAGAACCGGTATTCACCAAACGAGCATATAGATTACACTTAATGGAATGGAATCAAACAGTTTGTTACACTATAAAAGAGCGATAGAAATAAGAAATGCGCAGATGTGAAGTTAGTTTGCATCTTCTGATCGAAGAGTTGTTAAAGATAAGCCTATTGAATTTGACTAACCATCCTTCAGACTACCTCCTCCTGCAACATCCTAATTACACTCAATTGACCATACGTTCAAGTCATAGACTGAAGTTTCACTTTCCTCAGAGCTACTACAACTCTAAAGTAAAAGCGAATGAAAATCAGAATCATCATTTTCATCAACAAATCACTCAAATAGGTATACGGATCCAAAGTAGGAGTGTCAGCTACACTAAAACAGTAAAAATTACGTTATTCCCAGCTGAAATTACGAAATGGGCTAACCAAAACGGAGGATGTCAGTGATGTCTAAACAGAAAGCGTGACATTTGGGCCCAACTACAGACCCAGTGAACGCAACAACAAACTCGTCCAGAAACCGTTTACAAGTATTCCAGGGTGAACAAATAAGGTTGTGCGTTCTATGAAAGGACAGAAGTGTGAGTGCGGGGGTAGGGGAGGGGAGTGAAAAAGGTGAGTGAAACAAAACGATACTCGAAGAAACCGGAAATGGTAGTTCAACCCGAGGTCGAGGATTCGAGGGAATTCAAGAGAAAGACAAACATTGGGTGTTCACAGTTTGAATAACTAACTTGTGCATACCCTATCACAAACGGAACGAGAAAGCATACTATCAAGTAAACTGCAGCACAAAATTGGAAAGGGAAATTACACAGAAAGAATTTCGCAATTCATATGCGTTGAAGAACTAGCCCATTGAACAGAATATGACGAATAGCATGAGGATACAATTGGAGCGGTAACAGAGGAAACGGATAAGTGAAGTCACAGAATAAAAACTGGAAAAATGATACAGAATTGCCTGCAATTCAACAGAATAATTTCGTCCCTACGAATTAACTGGTTGCAACGAACTCCTCTCCCAAAGGTTATTGCATGGGGAACAAGAGGTAAGGATCAGATGACAAAGCAGTTAAGAGTCCTAATTTATATGAAGAACCCATTTCAACAATCCCAATGGAAGCCTATAATCACGAGAGAAGCATAAAAAAATTATTTCAACCGTGGAGAACACAGAGAAATGAGTCATTTTACAATTTGACATGAAGACCGAACCCATTCAAGCTAACACATTCAACAAACAAGTGAATCTTGGGGAACTAGAAAGTCTAAATACCATAGGAGAGTTGAAAAAAATCGAAGTAAAAAAGTCAGATAAATGATGTCAGCAGTTAGCGGATACCTTGAAATCATTTGATTCAGTTTTGTCTGTGGTCAGGGAAACAAGGACAGTCTTCCATTCGTTGTTCCCAATGTACTGTTGATCAGGCAAGCCATCATTACTTTGCCAAAGCGGATGATCAGCGCTATATTTGAAGAGAATGTGCTTAGAGAGAGGGGATCACCTACCAGATCAGTGATTTCAGTCCAGTCTGTATACCGATATCCGCACGACAAGATCTAACATAGACCAAATAAGAAGCGACGATATCAATCGGTGCAATTAGATAATTCGTCGAAGCAAGTGAGAGTGCAAAAGTAACGCGGGAAGAAAATGAAAAGATGGCCGTGCGTTGTTCAGATAGTTCTTAGCGCCCCATTATGTTGCCTTTCGGTAAACTTTTATT